GGGGTTGTGCAGCCGGGGTGAGCTGGGCTGTTTTTAGGGTGTGCGGGGGCTTGGGTTGTCGTGTTGTGGGGTTGTGGGGTTGCTGGGTTGTCGTGTTGCTGGGTTGTCGGGTTGTGGGGTTGCTGGGTTGTCGTGTTGTGGGGTTGCTGGGTTGTCGGGTTGCGTGGCCACTGGGCTCCCCGTGCAGCCGCCCTCGTCTTCTCCCCGCAGACTCGCCCACGGCGCGGATTCAGCCCAGCCAGGCCGTGCTGCGCGAGGGTGACACCCTGCTCCTCACCTGCGTCGTCAACGGCAACCCGCTGTGAGTGGGGGCCATGGGCTATGTGCTGGGGCACTGCTCTGGGGGAAGCTCGCAGCACCAGGGTCCCAGCCAGGGGCACCGCTGGGGGGAAGCTCACAGCGCCAAGGTCAGAGCCAGGGCCCCAGCCGAAGCCTGAGGGCTTGAGCCCAGGGCCGGGGGGCTCAGGCGGGCGCAGGCTTCGGCCCCCGTCCGGGGTCGTCAGTCAGTTCCGTTGTGCGAAGGGGCTGGCGGTTCGAGCCCCGACACCGGACACAGCCCAGGGCTGTCAAAAGCTAAAGCAACCAGACACCTCCAGCCACTTCAGTCCCAAGGTCACGTTCCCAGCAGTAGTGGTGAGTTTGCTGCCTAGTCCCCCTGGACCACAACCACACACCCACACAACCACACACCCACACAACCACACTCGGTCCTGCTCCGAGCTCCCTTTGTCGAGACGTGGGACTGACGACAAAACGGAGACGATGCAGCTGCCTTTTTAATTAAGGCCCCACCAAATTCAGGGCCGTGAAAAACACGTCCCGGATCGGGAAATCTGGGCTTGAGGTGGGAGCTGGTTGGGGACATGGGGGGGGGGGGGGAGCCCAGAACCGGGGTCTGGCTCCCACCCCCCAAGATGGACCTGACTGAGGGGTCCTGTTCTCTGTCCCTACGAGCTCTGTTTGGGGCCGCGTTCCGGTTGTCTAACAAACCTTCTGTGTTACTGGCTGGCTGAGAGTCCCGGGGAATCGCAGGAAGTGGGGGTGCGGGGCCCTGACTCCCCCACACCCCGTGACACCCCCGTATCTCATACTGCGTCACACCAAGGCCTCCAGCTGGGGGCACTGCTGCGGGGAAGCTCACAGGGCCAGATGTTCCCAGAGCCTGGGATATGGGGGTCTGCGGGTCTCAGTGCCGGGGGGTGTCACCCTGTGAGCCGTGCTGCTGCCCATCACCCTGGTGTCAGGCCAGCCCTGCCCGCTGGCGCCAGAGGACGGATCCCAGGGCCGTGGGCCGGGCAGGGCCTGGCCCAGCTCATCCCCCTCCCCGGTGTCTGTTCCCGCAGCCCCACTGAGATCACGTGGAGCCGGGCGAATGACTCGCTGCCCGAGCGGGCGCAGATCGAGGGCGCAGAGCTGATGCTGCCGGCGCTGAGCCCAGGGGACAACGGCACCTACGCCTGCCAAGCGGCCAACAAACACGGCCGCGCCTCCGACCAGTATGTGCTGGTGGTGTATGGTAAGGAGCCCCCCGCGCCCCTCACTCCCGACCCGCAGCCCCCTGCCCCCCGTGCCCCTCACTCCCAACCCGCAGCCCCCTTCCCCCAAGCCCTTCACTCCCGACCCGCAGCCCCTGGGGACCGCTGGTGCCCCTCACTCCCAACCCACAGCCCCCCGGTACCCTCGCTCCCGACCCGCAGCCCCCTGCCCTATGGTGCCCCTCACTCCTGACCCGCAGTCCCCTGCCCCCCGGCGCCCCTCACTCCTGACCTGCAGCCCATCGGTACCGCTCACTCACAACCTGCAGCCCCCTGCACCCCGGTGCCCCTCACTCCCGACCCGCAGCCCCCCATTGACCTGAATTTATGGGGCTAGTTCATTACGCCTCACCAATGATCTGACCAGAAGATATTTAGGTTCTTGTCCCATTTCAGGCGACAGGGTTAGAGACACAGAGTTTTCCAGGTGGTGGGTGGGCTCTCAGCGGGGGTGGCCAGGACATGTATACCAAGGACAACACCAACATTTCGAGATCTTTATTCAAACGAACGAAAGGCTAATCCAAGGTATAAAACGGTTACAGAGAAGTCACAGTGCCCCGGTCCCTGGTGCTAACAGCTCTGTTCTCAGACCAGCCTCGGCTCTGCCATGCCCGATGGACTCGATGGTCCAGGTTCCCCGCTGGCAGGGATCTGGATCGGGTGTCGAGTGGCTCAGCTGTCGTGCCAGAGCTGAGCTAATAGTGTAGATAGACAGAGCGGCCCCTCACCATGGTGTTACCGGGTCCCGGCAGTGCCCAGCCTGCCAGGCCCAGCGAAATCCGCGGGGTCACTTCTTCTGTGGCTGACACACATTCCTACCCGTTCCTATCGATTAGCTCATCCCTGAAACCGGTACTTGGCCCGACCCGTGACATCCGGGCCCTGCGGCGTGCCCTGCGGCGTGCCCTGCGGTCACCGGGCTGCTCCTAGCGCACGGGGAACACGGCCAGGTCTCAGTTCCCCAAACACAAAAGGGGAAGCGGAAGCCGTTTCTCCAGGCCGAAGGTTACAAACACTGACGGACTCGCTGGAGCGGGACGGCCGCTCGGTCCCTTGTTTTACAGCCAACGACTATGAGTAACACGGCGCGGCATTCGGCCTTCGCTATGAGCAACCCCCAGAGAAAGAACAATAGAATCAATCAAACCAACCAAGAAAACACATTATGCAAACTAGCAAATTAGCCTCGATGGCTACACCTCTGGCACCCCACCT